CCACCATCCATATCATTTAATTAATAGTTTCATATAGTTCATTTTTGTTTTACTTAAATACATTTATTTAAAATGGAACCTTGTTTTTCTAAAGTGCATTTAAATAAACCAAAGCATTTAAGTGAAAAATGCCTTTACTCATTACCATCTAAAAGCAGCTTGCATGCTAGCAGTGTGTGTCATACATGTTGAAAGCGTGGGGCTTGTTGGGTAAGCCCCACATTGTCTACAAGGCCCTTCAAAACCTGTGTTAAGTCTACACCTTAGCCCCATATCTTGGGCCCACATATCCGAATTCCATGAGACTGGCATCTCAAAGTGCTTCCTCCTTCCTAGGATCATCATGCTTTTTATTGACTATCTTAACTTCTTTCCTCTTATCCTTTCAAAGATCAGCTCAGATAATCCCTCCTTTCTTGAATCTTCTTAGTTACTCCAGAACTTGACTCTGAAATATATTGTTGTTACTTGTTTGCTATGACCTATCAGAGAGACATGTACCTCAAGGTTGGAGACATTTGTTGAATGAATGAATAAGCATTGATTAGAGCCAAAGAATATAGAGTCCTTGAATGTCTATACCTGTATGTCTGTAGTGTTATTAAGTGCAGCAACCCCAAATCATTGAATGTCTTGAAACAAGCCACACAATCTGTGTGGTTGGTTGAATGAAGGGGTGAGCTCTTCCAGGCAGGTGAACAAATATAAAATAAGCATGGGGGCTTCCCTGGTGGTGTAAGGGGTTAAGCACCACACTACGAAGCAATCCGCAGCCTCTGCAGCATAAGTTCGATCCCCGGCTGGCCACAGAGCTACCCACATCGCGCAGCAAACCTCTCCTGTCTCACCCGCTACTCCCCTCAGCAGTGTGTTTCAGTCAGTCTGCCTGTTCTGTTCTGTTCCCCACGCTGTCTCTGGTGAATCCTCTCACCCTCCCCCATCTCTGGCCTGTATCCCAGCTCTTATATGCATAAATAAATAAATCTTTTAAAAAAAATAAGCATGGATGGAGAGGCTTGGTGCCAAAAAGAGAATCTACTAAATCTGAAATATACATACCTTTGAGCCAGTAATTCTATTTTCAAGTATGCTCTCAACAGAAATATGTACATGCATACATATGTACATATGTTATCATTGCTCTTTGCAACATCATTTTTCCAACATCATGTTTCCAAACTGGAAACAACCTAGATGCTTGTCAATAGTAGAATTAATTTAAAAAACAGGAATATTTATTCAATGAGATAGTCTATACATAATGTGAATTAACAGCTATCACTACACATTAAAAACTAAGAACCCAATAGAGTATGTTTTATAAGATTCCTGTTTAAATAAAGATCAAAACCTGACAAGTGACTCTGGTGCTAGCAGTCGGGATAGAGTTCATGCTTGGGAGAGTAGTGACTACAAGGGTAACTGAAGGAGTTTTTCTGGGGTGCCGGTTACACACACGTGTCATTTGTGAAAATTCATTGAGACATACAAGAAAAAAAAATTTTTTTTTTTTAAGATTTATTTATACATACAAGCACTGGGTACAGTCAGAAGCGCGGGAGGGTGAGAGAATTCACCAGAGCCAGAGCAGGGAGCAGAGCAGGCGGAAGGACCGAAGTGCACTGCTGAGGGGAGCAGCGGGCGGCAGGAGAGGTCTGCGCGCCATGTGGGACCCTCCTCCGGTGGCCAGGGAGAAGCCGGGGATCGAACCGGCGCTGCAGAGGCTGCGGGCAGCTTCGCAACCCAGCGCTCAACTGCTGCGCCACCAGGGAGGCCCAAGAAAAAAATTTTTGTAACTGTGATGAGGGATGATATTGTGGAGATCGTTTTGCAATATATTCAAATATTACTTGCACACGTGAAATTAATATAATTTTGACTAAACCTCAATAAAAACTTATTAGAAAAAAATTTTTTAAAAAGAAAATTCACTGAGAGATACTCTTAACCTGTGCATTTTTCTATACTTATCCTACAGCTCAATTAAAAGTTTGAGTTTAAAAAATGAAAAGAAAATAAAAAAATCAGGAAAAAAAATTTAGAAAACCTTGTTCCAGAAAGAAATAAATGGCAGTCAATGGAAATAAGCCAAGTAACTAAGGATGAATCTAAGAACCTGAGCTGCTTCTTCGTTTTCATTAGACTCACTTGTCTTGTCTTTTAGTAATTGCTTGCTGTAGCTGTTAAAGGAATAACTAGCAACAATTGCATTTTATTTTAAAACATTTGAACCATGTAGAGCTATTACTCTATTTCTAGAATACCTCAAGGAGGATTTATTAATAATGCCATTCTTCAGATGAGGAAACAGGTGCAGAGGGATTTCTTGATTTACCCCAAGCCACAGGGCTAGTAAATGAATGAACTGAACTAATTTTCTCTAAGTCCTACCCATAACTCAGCATGAGCAGTTGTACTCGAATTTTGAGTCTTTAGGAACAGAGAACAGCAGAAGGAACACAGCACTAAGTGAGGGAAGAGTGGTGAACCATCTACATGATAAATCCACCCTGGAAGCTTTGTAGCTAATTATGTCAAGCCAACAAGCAAGTAAGCAAGTTTTTCATCATTGAAGTTAAATCTGTTGTTACTTTTCTGTGTAAATAATTAGGGATATTAAGTACAGTTTAAATGACCTCAAGTTAACAAAAAAAAAAAAATGCTATTGACTTGATTGAGTTAAACTAAAAATACTTTTGGCTGCTTTTAGTTAGTTTTCGGCAAACATAAACTTTCTGTGAGTGATCATAGAATCATCTAGCATGTTTTTTATTTGGACAGAACCACAGGGGCTTTTTAGTTCAACATTCCATCCAGTGCATAAATGGTCTGTAGCATTAGTGATAATCATGGTCTGATAAATATATGCACCAAGAGTGTTCTGTGGGCCAGGTGTACCACAGCTCTCTAAGGTTGCTGTTATTAATATACCTATTTTACAGATGAACAAACAGACTGAGAGGCTAAGCAATTTGCCCTAAAACTCCTAAGTAATTATAGCAAAACCGAGGCAGACATGGGTCTTTCTGACTTTAAATTTGGAGGATTTTATTGTTGTGCTCCTTTACTGGTTGGCCTTGAATTCCTACACGGATGGTTGTTGTATCACTAGTTCCATGAGACTCTTCTGGCTGGGAATGGAAAATCCTCTTGGGAAACAAGAAGAGTTTCCCAGTTACATTTAGCTAGAATCTTTCTTGTAACTTTTACCCATGGGTCCTAGTGCTTTTGCTGCTTTCAAGAATAATAGTTCTTAAATAATAGTTGAATATTAGTTCTTGAATAATAGTTGTTTCAAGAATAAAGAAAAAAGTTAAGATCCTTCCTTTGGGATGAAAGCTATCCCTCTAGAAATTTTAAGTGAAAGTTTACATTAATCTGTAGTTTACAAAATGATACAGGGCTCCAGTGATTTCTACATATTGGAGGTCAAACAACCTCCAATGAGTACATGTCATCTCTCAAGATTTGAACATGGTATGGACAGGGCTCAGCTGGGAGGTTCTTCTGCTATATATGCATCAACGAATGTATTCAATGAATTCACATTGAATGTATTCAACTTGTAACTAGTCTGGCCTGAGGATCCAAGATGGCTTCACTCACATGTGTTTCACCATGCCAAGGACAGTCTTAGAGTCTCTTCATAAGGCCTCTTTCTGCATGTCAGCTCTAAGGGTGAATGTTTCAGGAAAGAGGACATCAGAGTTGCTGGTCTCTTCTCTTGGAAGCTGAAATAGTATCACTTTCAGGTCAAAGCAGACAAAGAGCCCACCTAAGTTCAAGTGGAGATAACTCCCACCTCTCAATGAGAGTGTGTCAAAGACTTTGCAGCCATTTTTAATTTGCTACACTAAGCATCAGCCTAACTTCTTCTCCCTTTTCCTGGGTTGGAGGCAATACTGCCTATTTGGGCTTGAAACTTGTCCTACTATACTTTTACTTTTTTCTCTATTTTGAGATATTTGAAGTGTTAGGCCTTCTTTTTCTACTAATTTTGTCAGACAGCACAAACTTTACACTACTAATTAATTATATAAATTAGAGATGACAATTTCATTGGACAAAGGACTTTCATGGACAGAGGACTTTCTGGTTTAATTCATTAGCAGATTAAACACATATGAGGAAAAGACAGAAGGTTCCTGAAGATTGAGTAGAAAAAGAATGTAGAAACTCTGAATCAAAGAGTTTTTATCCATTAATTTATACTCTTATCCTATTTTCTCAATTTCAGTTTTTTTTTAATTTCTGCAGAGCATTTGTGATGTTTTGTTTCTTTAAAACAGCATTTTAAAGTTCTGTAATTTTAGTGAATGATATGTGTATTTTATTTTCCATTTGAAATTGAAGCAAAATTCAATGGCTGTTCTCCCGATATTAGAGTTATTTGAAATTATTTTTAATCTTTTGATCCTTGTCACACTGCTCTGCTCTGCAGTAATACACTAAAGAATTTTCAGAAAGCAGCTGTTGGGACCTCATGTAACTCCCTGCCTTAAGAATATGCCATTTTGTGGAGTTATACTAGCAGCTGACATGCTGAATTGACCTAAAGGTACTGTTTTAAAATACAGAAAATGCTTTATGCAGAAGTAAAATCAAGATACTGTGGACAAGAGATGTGAATTCATTGTTGCCAGATGCTTTTTTTTTTTTTTAAAGATTTATTTATTCATGCATACAAGAGCCGGGATATAAGTCAGAGGTGCGGGGGGTGAGAGGACTCACCAGAGACAGAGTAGGGGAACAGAATAGGTTGATTGACTGAAGTACACTGCTGAGAGGAGCAGCGGGCGAGACAGGAGAGGTCTGCTGCGCCATGCGTGTTTCTCCCTGGCCAGCCGGGGATTGAACTCATGCTGCAGAGGCTGCGATTGCATCATAGTGTGGTGCTTAACTCCTTGCACCACCATGGAGGCCCTTTTTCATTATTGTTTCTGAGAAAAATCTTGCATGGTGTTTCAAAAGCCTGACAAATGTTTATTTATTTATTTTTATTTTGCTTCCTCTGATAGGGTACAAGACAAAATACCCAGTTTGCTTGAGTTTTAAAAGAATGCTTCCTTTGCCCCACTTGAATGAACAATACTTATGTCTGACTGGCAAAATGAAAAGGGAGTTTATTTATTAATTTTTTACTGATAGACTCATTACTGCAAAAATGCAAAGGATCTTGATCTCACTCATTTATGTGCCTTTACTTTGTTTCATGGAAGTGTTTTAGACCTACTGAAAAGTTTAGAGGATGGTAACATCAGACACCCCTGTGTCCATGATCCATCCTATGGAATAAAACACTAGAGAGAGCCCTGAAGCCCCCTGTGAACTGCGCCCCACCCTCCTCCTCCCTTCCCAGGAGTGGCCTCTAGCTGAAACCTAGAACTTAGACTATTTCCTGGCACACATGTCAGACTTTACTATGTATGACCTATAACTATAAGTAACACATGGGCTCTTACAATCTTAATGACTGGAGAAAAAAATGAAAAAAATAACCTTTTGTGGTACTGTAACAGGGTGGTCCCCAGGAAAGGGGGAGGTTCCCTGCCCCACCCAAGGCAGGGTGGAGCTGAGCAGGAAGAGGAGAAGCGGAAGAAGAGACTGAGGTAGGAAGCAGGATGGAGCCAGGAGACCTGGAGGAGGCACATGGAGCCTAGAGACACGTGAAGAAACTGCGCTTGTCTTTTGGTCGTAGACTGGGTGACACAGATGTGGGTGAGACCCGTGGGGAGGTGACAATGGCAGCTTTTATCTTGATGTTGATTTTGCTCTTTTCCTTCCGGGCTTGTCCGGTTGTTTGTGACCCTTTTCTGTGGGTCCCCACTGGAAGATGCTTTAGACTTGTGGCAGGCCTTGGGGCCTTGCTCTGGGCCAATCCCATTTGGATGGACTTTTACCCACGAGGGGATGGGTAACTTTGGGTGCTTGATTTAGAAACTAGATTCTTTGCCTTACCTGTATTGTTTCCTAGTTTTATTAAATTTCCTTTTCATTAAAGTCTCCTATGTTTTGTGTTGATGCGGCGGATGGCAGAACCCATTTAGAATAGGCAGGTTTGCGGGGTTTTGGGCTGCCCCTCTCCCTGTCCTATAACAGTACTTGAAACTTAGAGTGTCCATGAATAGGTTCTATATCAGCACTCAGTGTAAAGACGTATTGTCTGTGGTTGCTTTTATGCAACATGGCAATTTGAGGAGTTAGGACTGAAATTGTATGTCCTGAAAGCCTAAAAATTTACTACTTGATCTTTTATAAAAAAAACATTTGCTGATCCCTAGTCTAGCCTTTACATGCACACACACACACACACATACACACATACATTAAACTGGTTAGAGAAAGGCTGGTATGTAGTTGTATGTGACATGGTCAGGAGGAGGCTGAAAAAGATGGACAAAAGGCTTTTTTTAAAACCCAGGAATTTTTTCCTTTTCTTGTCTCAGGAGACCAGCAATGACTGAATCTCTCCTCCTAGTTCTCATCCTATGAATGATTATATCTTATTCTTCTTCATTAAGCTCCTTATCTTCTTGCTCCCACCCACATGCCTCCAAACCCAGCAAATTCCATTTGCTCTGTGACAGAAAGAAGAGCTCTGAGGAGAGTCACCTCCCCCTCCTGAAAGTTCTGGCTTGGTGGTGTGCTTTGCCTGTGTATGTCTCTGATTTGGCACGTTGCATTCCTTGGACTTCCCTGTCTCAGTCTCTTAGAATTCTGGCTTATTGCGCACTAATACACTATGCCCTTGCTGGCTACCAAGAGATAGGCAAAGATTAATTAGCAAAGAGTAATTGAGCACATGATCTTTTAAATATAAACTGTGTAGAGAGTAGATGAAGATACATAGATTTCTTTTGTGAGAAAAAAAAACAAAATCTCTTTTTTCTCCAACAATGAATCTTCCCCCTTCCCAAGCCACACTTATGTAGATAATTGTCTGAACTGATTATTTAAGTAGTTGAAGAATGCGTAGTGCTAAGCACTCAAGGGGTACTACCTGGAGTCAAGATGTGGATCATGGCTTTGAAGCCAGGCAGTCATCTGTTAGCTGTGAGAACTTGGAGTTCCCATAGCAAAGAAAGGGATGGCAATCTTTGGTGTCTGCCAGAAAAGCTAAAACACAAAAAAGTGATAATATTCTGTCTTCAACCTCAAGATGCTTTCAAGTAAGTAAAAACAATGAACAATAGAAAATGATTCTAGAGAGTGAAAAATCAAACTGGATTGTGATAAAGGCTACAAGACAGGTAGAGAAACATATTGCAATGGCAAGAAGGAGAATTTCCTGCTTGGGACAAGATGAAGGACTTCTTGAAGGAGTGGCAAGGAAAAGCAAGAATTTGCATCAGTGGAATTTAGAACAAGAATACTCTAGGCCATAAGCATAGCTTAAAGCAAAGATACTGAAACAGATATCAGGCTGCAAATACAGTACAGGGAATAGATTTGTTTGCCATGTATGAAGGAGAATAGAGGGAGAGGTGGGGAAGATGAGGCTGAAGGGCTGGTTAGGTTAGATGCACTGGATAGCTGTGAATTTATAGACAGCTGCCAGTTATTGGTTTACCCGTGTTGTGACAGCTTTCAAGTCTGAGCTCTGTCTTCAGTTTTAGGAGACTGCTCTACTATAAGACCTCGACTTTCCCTATCTTGGTCCAATGTCACTTCATGAGATTTGCTATCTCAGTACAAAAGATGTGAAAGACATTGGAACATACTGTTTTACAAAACAGCTGTGAAAGGCCCAATCTGAGGAACATTGTGCGGTAGCCCTCATCACTCCATTATCACATCCAAATCAAGAGAAATATCCTTGACAACAGTGGAATGTGCTGTCTCTTGTGTTCTTATTCTTCCACAGCTTTGGCCAAGAAAAGAGGCGGGGGAAAAGAGGCCGGAGTGGAAATGTTTGAAGTGGGTGGAGGAAGGAAGGAGGGAAAAAAATAATATTCTAAACAATGCTTGTGGATTGGTGGGGAGATATGTTTATCAGGGTTTTGGGTACATCTAAAGTGGCCTTCCATGGGTCTTCTTCCTTTAGTTGTACTTATTATTCAGTTATTTCACTAAGCTTAACATTCTCATTATTTGTGCTATAGTGTGTGTCAGAATTTAATCCCTTTTTAATACTACTAGTCTGTCTTATGTATATAACACATTTTGTTTATCCATTCAGCAGTTGAGGATCACTTGGCCTCATGAACCTTTTGGCTCTTGTGGGTAATGCTGCTCTAAAGTTGGTGTACAAATAGCTCTGCTTTTATGGGTATATGCTTAGGAGTGAAAATGCTGGATCATGAAGTAATTCTATGTGTACTTTTTTGAGGACCTGCCATACTGGCCTCCGTAGTGACTGCATCATTTTACATTTCCACCAGTAGTGCACAAGGGATCCAGTTTTCCACATTGTTACTAACATTTATTATTTTCTAATTTTTTTTAAAACAATTACCATCTTAATAATTGTGAAGTGCTCTTTCATAGTGGTTTTTGTTGTTGTTGAGGTCATTCTTTTTTTTTTCTTTGAAGGTTTATTTTATTTATGCACGCAAGAGCTGGGGTCTAGGCCAGAGGTGTGATAGGATTCACCAGAGACAGAGTGGGGAGCAGAACAGGCAGATCTACTGAAATACACTGCTGAGGGGAGCAGCAGGCGAGACAGGAGAGGTCTGCTGAGCCATGTGGGTCACCTCCCTGGCCGTGGATCTAACTCCTGCTGCAGTGGCTGGCGATAGCTTGATAATGCTGAGACTTTAACCCCTGGGCCACCAGGGAGGCCCCCGAGGTCATTCTTTCTTACTCTTTAATAATGGAATGTTAATCTACAAAGTTACAAAAACTACTTTACAATGCCAGTGAGTAGTCAGCAAAAATTCTTGAAGTGACCACAGTGTACATTGTCAAGTAGTTTCTTAAAAGTAAAATGCAGGGTGGTGTAGATAAGAGGAAAAGAAGCCACTAATTGTGCAATGATGCTTCCCTTCTATTCTATATTGAGGCTGGATTTTACAGCGTACCCATCACTAAAATCTACTCAATCAAAGCATGAGCCAAGAAAAAGAAAAAGAATTAAGTATTTAGGAGAAAATGGATGTCTTAAGCAAGCATCCTGCATTTAAAATCTGAGTGGGTAATGGTGGGTGTCTGGAAATATGGAGACACTTTTTAGTAGGAGAGAAGACTACTTTGTTTATGAACAGGAACTTTTCATGGGTTGTGAAACATATTTTGAGTGAGCAAATAACTGGGATTGCCGTTGAGAATCTCTCCGAGGCTTCCAAAATGTATCTCAACTTTGAGAGCTTCCATTTCCACACCTGTTTATCTCACACAACTTCTTGCCAGCCCCAGAATATGCTGTGCTCTCTCTACCATGTCTTCACATCTGATGGGTCCTGTGTCCACCCTCCTGCCTTGAGGACTCTCCAGTGTCCACCCTCAGGGGATCCCGCATAGAACCCATCACCTGCCAAGAAAATAGTGACATTGCTCCCCAAATCTGCCACCCCTTGGTTTTCTTACTCCTAGATGTTGTTGCTTTTTAAAACATTGAGGTGAAAAATCCTATAACATAAAATTAGCTGTTTTAAAGTATATAATTGAGGGAATTTTATACATTCACCATATTTTTCAATAAGGTAAATCATTCCCTAATCTATCCCTAGCCTCTTGCAATCATTAGTCTGCTTTCTGCCCCTATGGATTTATCTATTCTGGATATTTCACATAAATGGAATTATACAATATGTGATCTTTTGTATGTCTTTTTTTTTTGTTTATGTATTTGAGCTTCATCTATATTTTTACATTTGTTTTTAAGTCTGAATAACATTCCATTGTTTGACTGTACTACATTTGTTTACACATTTATCTGTTGATGAACATTTAGTTTCTTTCCACTCTTTGGATGTTGTTGCTTGTTAAGAGAATCACAACTGTCTGGGGTCAGCTAAGTAGCGATCACCAAAGTGTCTTCAGCTTGAAAACCAAGGCCCTTACCCAGGAAAGAAGGATCTGGGCCAGGACTTCTTAGTGACTCTAGATAAGAGGTTGCAAGTGGGCAGTTCACAGGCATATAGAGGTCTCTGAAGTGTATTGTGTTTGCTCTTCTGTACCCTGTT